GCCGCTCCGCGGCATGTGGGATCTTCCCGGACCGGGGCACGACCCCGTGTCCCCTGCATCGGCAGACGGACTCTCAACCGCTGTGCCGCCAGGGAAGCCCCAGCTACTGAATTTTTAATTAAATTGTCTCTACTTGGTTCTTTTTCAAACGTGCCTGTTCCTCCCACCCTGCACTCTCCTCGTTTCTCATTATGGTGCCTCTACCTTAAAAACTCTGTTCATTCTGTGCATAATTCTCTGACAGTGTACTGCAGATTTTTTCCTAATATCTCTAACCTTGGGGTGCAAATTCTCATTTGTTATGTCTGTTAACCCTTCCTCTTGACGGTTTGTAACCATGTATAGTTTGAAAAATTTTATTGCATGTTTATCTTCAGCAGGGATTGTTTTATGAAGGTGCATGCTTACTGGATTGTAAGTCTCTTTAGAACAGCTTGTTTGCTTCAGCAGGGATGCCTGGAATTGGAATAAATCTGGACAGTGATCCTCCCAGTTGCTCAGTGTGAGGCGCCTACACTTTGCAAATCGTGTAAACCTACACCCATAGGTCATGCAAGGCTGTGGTTTTGATTTCTCAGGAGTGAGCGTCCTTTACCCTACTCCCACCTTAACTGTAGCCCCCTTTCCACAATTGTCTTATATTGGGGGCTTGGTTTCAAATTCACCACCCTTATTTTTTTATCCCCGTATAAGCATCAGAAGTCTAGTGCCTTAGCCCTACCTGTGTGTAGGTCTTAAATGTTGACCATAGGGTGTCAACTTCTGCTAAAGCAGTTGTTTCCTAGCAACACACAAGTGGTTTATCTTCCGGGGCTGCTGTGCTGATCTCTGCGGGTCCCTCCCCTCCCCTGGCCTCCTCACGCTTCCTGCTCTGCAGCTGAGAACCCTCTAGGCGGTCAGCCGCTGCCACCTCAGGGCTCTCCTTGTTTGTGACAAGGAGAGATCTTCTCTGGGAGATACTAGTGCTGGGCTGCTTCTTGTCCAGTGCCTGGAAACTTTTGTTTCATTGATATTTTTCCTGGTTTTCTAGTTGTGTAAACCTTGCAGGTCCTTTACCTTCTCGGCTGGAAACGGAAGTCTCTCTTGACTTCCTTCAGTTGCCTCGGAGGCCACAACCCTTGCCTTTGGCTTTGTTGTGCTTTCAGCCTTCATCTCAGTAGGTCTTTCTGCACATCTCTCGGAAGAGTGCTGGGCCGGAATGCAGAACATTTAGGTTCTAAGAATTCCAGTTTTTGCTGCTGGCTTTGGGGGCTCTGAATATAAAATGAGGGAATTTATCAAGGCATGTGCTAAGGTTCCTTCTCGCTTCTTTATGATTTTATATTATAACATTCTTTTTTAAAAAAAAATTGAGTATTTTCATTCATTTAAGTTTCTTTTGGTGTTCCTTCACGGCACTACTTTTTATTGAGCACCTGTTACTTGTCAGGTATTATACTGGGTGCTGGGGTTACAGCCCCTCCGTGGAGCAGGCAGAGCTGCTGGGAGACAGACACGAGCAGCCACAAAAGCTGGTGCCAGCACCTCTGTGGCGGCGTCAGGACGGGAGAGCCACAGCTCCAGGAGAGGCTGTAGCCAGGGACTGGCCTTCCCCCAAAGGTCAGGGGAAGGCTCTTTTGGACAGTGACACCCAGGCTGGGGTAGGGCGTAGCGATTAAGGAGTGGTAGTGTCCCAGGCAGTGGGAACAGCACGGACAAAATCATCGAGATGAAGGCTTTCGGTGTGTTTGATGAACTAAGGGAACGCCACTGTGGCTGAATCCCGGGCAGGGAGGAGGGAGGGATTTCTTTGAAAATTAAAATTAAAATTTCGGTTTCCTTTCTGGCAGGACAGCATAGTGCAACATCTAGAGTCCGACTGTTTGCGTTCAGATTCTGACTCTGCCACTCTGTAGCTGTGTGACCTTCGGCAACCTTCTTAACCTCTCTGAGCTTCAATTCCCTTAACGGAAACATGGGCTAATATGGTTATTGTCAGGGTTTAGTGAACTACTGCTATACAGAAAGCTCTTAGCACAGTTCCTGGCCTATGGGAAGTAACCAATAAAGTTTAGTTATTATCCAATATTTTATGGCTTATGGCTTTTATTTCCATGTACATAGTTAGTGTAGTAGAATCATTAATGTTCTCTAATAACAATTATTCTTTCGTAGAATGAATTGCTAAGTTCTTTAGGTCTCCGATAAGCAGAGGTTTTTGTTTTGTTTTGTTTTGTTTTTGTGGTATGCAGGCCTCTCACTGTTGCGGCCTCTCCCGTTGCGGAGTGCAGGCTCCGGACGCGCAGGCTCAGCGGCCATGGCTCACGGGCCCAGCCGCTCTGCGGCACGTGGGATCTTCCCAGACCGGGGCACAAACCCGCATCGCCTGCATTGGCAGGCGGACTCTCAACCACTGCGCCACCAGGGAAGCCCATAAGCAGAGGTTTTTGAAGAAATATTTTCTGTTACTTTAAAACAGGAGTTCTTAACCCATGAAGTACACGGTTGGGCCTCAGAGGATGTTTTGAAACCTGATCCTTATGAAAAGTTGTATGTGTGAAAAGGGCATGTATGTCTGTGGACATCATCAGGTCCCAAAGCTGTCTGTTTTGAACTCGGTGTTTTAAAGCCCACTCCAGGCCGGGTCCGCAGTGCTCTGTGACCGTCTGTGGGTTGGAGGTTGCATATTCTTCCTGGGTCCCGAAAGGTACTGAGAATAACCTATGCCACATGACTGTGGTTAGGGGCCTGGTGCTCCCAGGAGGGACCCTGCAGGAGAATGACATCGTTGATCGTGGCACACACATTTGTTTCTACAAATGTCTAATTCTGTGTTAGAATTATCTGGGTAACTGTTATACAGTGTACATTTTTAATAGGCTCTAATTACTAGCTTTTACTAAAAGAATTAGTTGAGAAAAAAAATGTGGTTAATGTTTCAAAGAAGAGTAAGCACCTAGGCACAAACTTGTCATCTCTTGTTTTCAACTGTTACCAGTTACTGCCTAAATTAACCGTGGTTTTTCTGTCTGCCACGTAGGAACCCTCTGCTCTTTTTGCAGTAGTGCTTCTCGCCCAGCTATTTCAGTTCAGGGAATAGGAGGGAAGCCTTTCCACCCCTGACACGTGGGTGCGTAGAGGGTGGTGGCCGGGGTCAAGGCCAGATCATGAGGGGCCAGATCCCGTTGGTCTTGCCACGCACAAACTCACTTGTTCCAGCATCTGGACCGGGCAAGGGTAGGGTTTTGTATGCAGCCTACATGTTAGAATACGGGAGCATAGACAGGTTAAGTCACTTACTCTGGTCACGCAACTAATACATAGAAGTTGGGGGATTCATTCCATTCCAGGGACGTTTGGCGTTACACTGGAGGGAGGGGATGCCTGCCCTCAGTTGGGGGTACAGGGGAGAGCAGGCTTGGAGAGGAAGAGGCAGTATGACAGCTGGCTCATTTTTGGCCAGAGTGAGTTGGAGGCACCTGTTAGACATCCACGTGGAGGGGTCTGGTTGGGTGTTGCCAGGCCAGGGCTGAGGGTTGATGGGACTCCATGTCATGGAGTGGGTGAAGCTGCATAGTGAGGACGTTTAGGCCAAGACAAGATATGGCGCTGAGGACTTGCCATCAGATTCTTGCTTAGGGGTCAAACTTCTTTTTCTTTCGACCGTTTTAAATGTGTTTGCGTAGAGCTCCGTGGCCAGTTTTCATAGGGGCGAGCGCTTTGTTCACTTGCTTCTGTGTCCCAGATGGCAGAGAGGGTCCTATCCACGGTGGTGAGAGTGCATCAGACCAGCAGCCCTGAAGGGAGGGCGTTTGGCCCTTCTCGAAGGCTCTGGTCTCATCACCCTTCCCTTGGTTTATTAACCTGCCCCCTGCATTTTTCCATGCATTGTCAAGTCTGCTGCACTCAGAGGCTTCAGCCGGGAAGGCCTGCGAAAGCAGAAGGTGTGCGACCGGCCCCGTCTTGCCCAGGTGTGACCAGTCCCAGTTGGTGCGCACTTATGAGTGTGGTTCCCCTCTTCCCCTGTAGATGGATTTGAGGACTACGGTCCCTCATGCGACGGCATGAGGGTGACAGCCTTCTTGGACGTTCTGGGCCAGGACAACCTGCCTGCACTTGCTCGCCTGGAAAAGTACACTTTCAGCAGCAGCATCTTCAACGGGTAAGCTGTGCCTGGCCTGCGTACGGTTAAGGGGCCACTGGCTGCCACCTGTCTGTGACAGCCTTGCAGGAGGCGTGGTGGAGGTGGAATACGGGCTGTTCCCTGGATGCTGGGAGTCTGCCTGAACAGCACTGCGTTATTAGGGTTTCCCATTATTCTTGTTGCTGTTTTACTGACCACCAGGTAAGCCAGGAAGGAGACGGTGGTGAAATTTAATGGGATTTAAATAATTAGGATTGCTAACTGGCTTTCCTTCACATGTACGGTGCTCAGAAAAGTAGAACGTGTCCCACAGTTGAGAAGCATCGGTCGGTGCGTTGCTCGCCTGTCTTGTGTCTTGACGGCACTGGGCTTCAGGGACCTTTGTGCCACTTGTCCTGCACATTCTGCTGTCGCTCCTCATGGTGCTGGCAGGACCCTCCTCCGGGCCCAGACCACGTCTCTTCCCTTCAGCAGATGACCTTGACTCTTCCTTCAGGAGGAAAGCAGAGACTAAGGCATCCCTTTCAGTTCCCAGTCCGCCCAAACCTGCATCTGCTGGCACTTCCCTCCTCCCTCAGAGAAGGCGCTCTCTCGTCTCCTGTCTCCCTCCGTCTTCTGTCTCTTCCTTGTCACCCCTTCTACGGGCCCTTTCCTTCCACTTAAAAACCCTCTCTCACTCTGACAATTCTGTGGACTCTCCCCGGCCCTCCCCGCATCCCTTCCCTGAAGGACAGGTTCTGTTAAGACTGGTTCCTACTCACTGTCTATTCTTACTACTCCTTTAAAAAATTATAGTCTCTGCTTTTACATCTGTTAAATCATAGAAGGTGAGCTCACAGCAAGTGCTACTGAGCGAGCCCAATTATTATCCCAGATCTACAGCTGGGGAAGGGAGGGTGCTGCGAGCGGCGTCTTTTGATGAGCCGCTCTTCATTGAGGCATGTAGTCCACGGTTTAGCAACTTTCTCTTTTAGGGTCTGTGCTTTTCATGTTCTGTGTAGGAGACGTCTGCCTCCCCCCAGGCCACTAGCGTATTTTCTTACACTGTCTTCCTGAAGTTTTGTTGTTTCCCATTCACACTGGGAGCCACAGTCCACCTGGCATTGCTTTTCTTGTTTGGTATGATGTGAGGGAGAAGTCAGGTTTCATTTCCCTCCTGTGGTCTCCAGTTAACCCAGGGCCATTCATTGAGAGCACTTTGATCTCTGCTCTGCATTGCCACCTTTGTCTTCAGTCAGGTGTCCGTTTCTGACTCTCTAGTCTGCTGCATTGGCTGTTTATCTGTCGTAGAACCAGGACCCCACCGTCCTCATTACTGCAACTTTGTCATCAAAGTCTTGGTATCAGAGAGATTACCTGGTACCTTGCTCTCCCACTTTGTTCTTCAAGATTGTCCTGGCTGCTGTTGGCCCTTTGCATTTCCAAGTGTATTTTAATACCAGTTTATCAGTTTCTAGAAAAAAAAACTGCTGGGATTTTCACTGCAATTGCATTGCATCTATAAATCAATATGTAAAGAATTGATATCCTTACAATATCTAGGTTTCTACTCCTTCCATTTTTTAAGGTTTTCTTCACTTTCCCTGTGTGTGTGTGTATACACATATATACATATACATGTATAAACATACACATAAATAACTATAAAACTATAATACATGGTTTTCTGTTGTAGAGATCTTTTGTATCTTGTTAGATTTAGTTCTAGGTATTTGATCTTTTAGGCTAATGTAAATTGTATCATTTCTTTTTTTTTTTTTTTGCGGTACGCGGGCCTCTCACTGTTGTGGCCTCTCCCGTTGCGGAGCACAGGCTCTGGACGCGCAGGCTCAGCGGCCATGGCTCACGGGCACAGCCGCTCCGCGGCATGTGGGATCTTCCCGGACCAGGGATCCAACCCGTGTCCCCTGCACCGGCAGGCAGACTCTCAACCACTGCGCCACCAGGGAAGCCCTGGCAGGCAGATTCTCAACCACTGCACCACCAGGGAAGTCCCTCTTGAAGGGGTCATTAGTCTTGTAGAATTTTCCACATTCTGGATTTGGTGGTCATTATTCTCATGGTATAATTTCATGTGTTCCTTTGTTCTCTGTATTTTCTGTAAACTGAAAATTAAACTTGGAGACTTGATTAGATTCTGCTTCAATTTTCTTTTAAACAATACTTCATATGTTGTCTTGTGTACTTTTTATTACAAAACATCAGGAGGCAAGATCTGGTTGAGATGTTAATATTGAGCAGTGGGCGCAGGTGTTCGATTCTTTCACTACAAAATTCCTTACCAGCCTTTCTTCTAATGATTTTAATGGTCACAAATAATCATCGCTTAGATCTGTTATTTCATTGTCTGTTGGCAAGTGTTGGAAAATGGTAATTTT